GCACTTAAGAAGAAAGCTGATCTGAGAGGAGTGAGTATCAAAAGGAACACTGAATAGATGATCAGTAAGTCCATAAAAGAATAACAGCGGTAACTGAGAGGCAGGCAAATACTAAAATGTAATGTCGGAGCTGATGGTAACTGACACCAAAGTACGCTAAAGTTCTTATATAAGGAAAATTAAGATACTTAAAAATTATATGTATATATGTCCCCAAATTATATGTATATATGTCCCCAAATTAGGTCTTGCTGAGGTAGGCAAGTGCTCTAACAGGAGCTCCTTCCTAGCCATTAAAAATGTAAAACTAAAACTTGACAGAATGACAGTGAAGCGATGATGCCACAGTGACGGGTGCTTCCTTCCACACAGATGCCATGAGACGCAAGTCCCTGAATACACTTCCTGTCAACGCCAATAGGTCCAACAGACAAAGTGAGTGGAAACAAGAAGACCTACACACAATTCAATAGTATGAGCCAAGGGACTGTCACTACACCAAACACTAGCAGATGAGTTTCAGAGACGGAACTAAGGTCTAGGCATGTCTTAACAGTTTCCCTCTGTACAGGCATGTTCTCTGAGCACAGGGAGTTAAGAGCCACTCATTTTAGGAAATAAGGCACAGAACCTAGGTGGACAACCAGGAAATTCCATAAAAGTCCATGAACCAACTCAACACAAAACTATAAAAGGAACCTGAAGTCAGGAAGCAGTGGCATGAGCCTTTAAATCCCAGCATGTGGGAGGCAGAGGCAAATGAATCTAAAAAACAAAAGGAACCTGGAGACAATAAATCAAAAAACAAAGTGGGTCTTCGAGGAGGGGATCACCTGGGAAGACTGGTAAGGGCTGGGGTGGGGCAATGGCAAACAGCACAGACAAGCAGAGACTTCAGAGAACGCTGTGAATAGCACAATGAATCTGAAAACTTACAAGTGGTTTCCTAGAAAAATCAAGTCTACCAAAATTAGCTCAAAAGGAAACCAAGAACGAAGGACTTGGTCATTTGAGGTAGAGATGGAGACCGGAGGACAACTTCGAAGAACCAGTTCTCTTCTTCCAGTATGGGGGTCCAGGGAACTGAACTCAGGCCATCATCCTTGAGGGCAGCTACCTCTACCTCCTGGGCCATCTGATAACCCTAGATGAAGCTTCTAAGGATAGTTTGTTGGACACTGTTGTAGTTGGGACTTGAGAGAAGGAGGACCTAGATTCATTTTCTGTCCTGTGATAAAACACCCTGACAAACTCAGAGGAGAACAGGCTTATTTACACTTACAATTCCAGGGTACAGTTCATCACTGGGGGGAAATTAAGACAGGAACTTGAAATAGCTAATCACATCCACAGTCAAGAGCAGAGAGAGGATGAACGCATGAATCTTCTAACACTGAGCTCAGCTTGTCTACCCTTGTACAGTCCAGGACCCAAACCTAAAGAATGGTGCTACCCGCAGTGGGCTGGCTCCTCCCACACCAATGAACACTATCAAGATAATCCCCATAGATTTGCCCACAGGCCAACCCGATTTATATAATCTCTGTCAAATTAACAAAACCTCTGTGGGGGGTGGGGTGTCTGTGTGTGTTATAGGGGTTTGGTTGGTGGTATAGTAAGGGCAATATGCAGAAGTCATCAATTTAATTTGAAAAAGTTGAAATAGAAGAGACATTAAATATATAAGAAGGCAGAGGCAGGTGGACCTCTGAGCTTGAGGCTAGCCTGGTTACATGGTGAGACCAAGTCTCTAAAAAGAGGAGAAGGAAGAGAAGTACACAGTTGGATCTATGGATCAGGGATCCAGAAAGGATCTGGGTTGTAGATCACATTTGGGAGTTGCCAGTATCCAAATGATACAGTCACAGGTGTTGGCTCACATAATCTGAAGAGATAGTTCATTGGTTCTTAAAATCTGGCCGCTGGACCAGAAACCTAAGCATCATCGGGAAACCTAACAGAAATTTTCAGGTTCCACCCTAAACCTCCTAAATCAGAAATCCTGACTGGGCCTGCAATCTATGTACCTACAATCCACTGACTGTGAGAATTAAGAAGGCACGGGACCTTGTTGTAAGATCTCCAATATTTGCCAGGTATGATGGTGTATAATTTTATATAATTTTAATCCCAGCATTTGGGAGGCAGAGGCATCATGTGAATTTAAGGCCAGTTTTGTTCTACATATCAGCCAGAGCTACACAGAGAAACCTTGTCTCAAAAAGGAGGAAAAACAAAACAATATTTAATACAAGAGGATGAGCCAGCAGGAATATCTACGAGGAGCAACAAGAAAGGAATATTTTTAAATAATCAATCCTCCCCAGACACGCCCATGGGCCAGCCTGGTCTAGATAATCCCTCCTTGAGGCCTTCCTCCCAGGTGACAGAGAGCACACCCATCCCAGTGCTGGGAGGCAGGCAGCTGTCTCTGAGTTTAGGGCTGCTTTTTAACAGGAAAACAATACACATGATGAGCTGCTGGGGAAGAGCTCAAGGGAGCAAGGTCCTGCTGCAGAGTCACATGGGAGGGAAGCACAGCTGTCGGCCTCAGCATCAGCAGCATTTCAGGACTGACAGTCAGAACTGTCCTACAAGGTGGTAGAAGATGCAGGCCCACTTTCCCTCAGTATTACTGCTTTTAAAACTTTTTTTTCTTTTTAGCCGGGTGTTGGTGGCGCACGCCTTTAATCCCAGCACTCGGGAGGCAGAGGCAGGCGGATCTCTGTGAGTTCGAGACCAGCCTGGTCTAAAGAGTGAGTTCCAGGACAGCCTCCAAAGCCACAGAGAAACCCTGTCTCAAAGGGAAAAAAAAAAAAAAAACCACCAACAACTTTTTTCTTTTCTTTAAGAGAGAGAGTGAGAGAGTGTGTGTGTGTGTGTAGGTGTTATGCCTGCTTGTATGTTTGTGCACTCTGTTCATTCAGTGCCCACAGAGGCCAGAAGAAGGTGTTGAATCCCCTGGGAAGAGAGTTAGAGACCACTGTGAACTGTCATGTGAGTGCTGGGAATTGAACCTGCCCACAAGCTCACATGCCAAGCACTGTCCACTGAGCCATTTCCCAGCCTCCCTTTCGAATGTTGCATTTCTGGGCTTTCAGAGGTTTCGGCCAGGTTCTTAGCGAAACAACAAATCACAACACTCCCATCCTCCCACCCCCATCATACATCATAGCAAACACTGGCTTTCATTAGCTATCATTGATCAATTTCTACCTCTCCTCTCTCAATTTATTTCTACACCCATCCATTCATAAGCTGTTTTAAAACCGACTAGTGTTTGTAGGAGGGGACCATCAGGCCTCTGTGTCTGCACGTCCCACATCCATGAGTCAACTAGCCTTGAACAGCAAATACTTTGGTGAAGAGACCATCTGTACAAAAATGTGCAGACTTTTCCTTCCTGCTCTCACTCTCTAAGCAGCACAGCACGGCAGCAATTTAGCCAGCATTTACATCATGGTCGCATCAGAAGTAAGTGAGAAATGATTTAAAACATATGGCAAGATGTGTATAGATTACAGTCAAACACAAATAGAACATGCCATTTTCTGTGACAACCTTGAGTATATGCAGGTTTTGGTAACTAAAAGAGATCCTAGAACCAGCTCCCTGTAGATGCTGTGGGACAATGAAGGAAATGTTTATTTATTCTAATATTCATTAAAGAAGTATTCAAGACTATCACCCTGTGTCACTACCATGTCTGACAACCATGGGAGACGTAAAACTTCATGGTATTTATAACTGAGCAATTAGCTTTATGAAGAATAGACTTACAGAAACAGATTTTGATTATAAAAAGAAATGAAAAATTTTAAAAAATGTTTTTAGTAAGTATAATTGAAGCAGCACCTAGCTATCAAAAGAAATGCTGGAGTCGAGTAACTTTAAGTCAAGCGTGGTAGTACACATCTTAGTCCCAGCACTTGAGAGGCAGAGACAAGATGGTCTCTAGGAAGCCAAACTGTTTGCCTACATAGCAAGCTCAGGCCAGCCAAGGCTACTTATTGAGACCTTATCTTAAGAAAACAAACAAATACACCTCTTGATGCTGGAGGGTTGGCTCTGAGGTTAAGAGAGCATGTTGATCTTGCACTCTTACAGACGACCTGGGTGTGATTTCTAGCACCCACATGGTGGTTCACAAGGGTTTGCAACTCAAGGAATATGATGCCCTCTTCTGACTTCCATTGGCACCAGGCACACTTGGTGGTGCAAACATTCAAGCATGCAAAACATCCATATACATAAAATAACAAACTAAATAAACCGTTCCTAAAAACCAAAAATATAAACCTGGTGTGGGGCTGGCACCATGGCTCACCAAGTGAAAGTGCTTGCCACCAAGCCTGTCAATCCCCAGGAAGGAGGGTGCCAACTCCTACAAGCTGTTCCCTGACCACCATGTACAGACATATCTGACACCTTGGAGGCAAGGAAAGAGCAACTGAATTAAGCACAAAGGGGACTCCAGACTTTCAGACGTGTAAAGAACTTGGCAGTTTCTTTACAGAAACAGTAGCTGGGGTGTATATTGACTCTCAGGTGTGTGGAGGTCCTGCCTCCATATCTTCCTATCCCCCAGCATTGGGAGACCCTGTAATAGGCATCTGTCTTCTCTCCTTTTTCCTCTCTATGACTACCAAAAATCTGCATATGCTCAAGTCTCTCTCTCCGTCTCTGTCTGTCTGTCTGTCTCTAGATAGATAGATAGATAGATAGATAGATAGATAGATAGATAGATAGATAGATAGATAGATAGATAGATATCCAGAGCCTGGAATTTTCTGTCATTGAACTATCTCAGTCTTTCACACAACACCACCCAAGCTCTAGGCAAATTATGTAATGACCTCAGGTGGAGAATCTCTACTCTGCTCCTGCCTCTGTTTTCTCTTTCCTTATGAGAAGGCCAGGTGGGACAGACAAATGACAGATATCTACCAAGACAGTATACTTTTGGTGTAAGGATACTGAAAGCATTTCTCACTCCATACCTTGGGTCTGTGGGCTGTAAGGAGACAGAAGTTTGGACCTCTTCTTTTCATATCCTTTCTGTGTGATGTCCCCTAAAATAGCAAGAAACAGAAATGGGTTATGCATTATCCTTATTATGCAGTTGTTCACTGTAAAAAGAAAAATTAATTACAGAGTGCTACAGAAGTACCACATATAGAATGCATTTTTTAACGTATGGTTCTCTTGTCAAGACTTTGTAAAGTGTGATTTCCTACAAGCTTGGAGAGAACCGCTTGTGGAAAATTGCAGGCTTGTCCCCTCATCAGCCTTGCACAGCAATTCGTGACATAAGTGACAGGCTCCCTGGCATCCCTTGGTGCCCCTCACTTCCTTGGTATTTAAGATACTCCAAAATGGAATGATACACAGACACCTGATATTTGAAAAGGGATTTGCAAGGCCACTCTGCTAAACCTTGCATCCAAATCTAAGGCTGGAATTCCCATACACCCTCTACTTGATTTCACTAGTTTGTATTATTTATATACAAGGTTGTTCTTTTCTAAAAGGTTAAATAAAATGCACAAATAAAGTATACACACATACAGATACAACAGAGTGAGCTGACACACAGAAAAACTGCCCGCACTCCAAGGAGCAGGTGGATGGACAGTAAACAAGCTGAGTGGGAGAGGAACTGCACAGGCCCAAAAGGCATTCAAGGGACGGCAAATGCTTCAAAGCTGTGAACTAGTGAAATACACACAGTAAAAGAACATTTTCTTTAAAAAAAATGAATTTTTTAATCGGAGAAAGGTCTATTTAAAATGAAGTTTTTAAAGAATTTTTGAATATCATAAAAGATAATTTGAGCATACAACTTCTCAGCATTTTCCCAAAGATTTATTTATTTATGTGTGTGTGTGTGTGCGCGTGTGCCAGGAGGCTATTGGTTCCCAAAAGTTCTAGGCATTTACAGGAGTGAGCACCAGGATCTGAACCACATCCCGGTGTTGTACAGCAAGTACTCCTAACCACAGCAATCTTTCTAGCCCCTACATTGCTTTTTTTTTGTTGTTGTTTTTGTTTTTTTGTTTTTGAGACAGGGTTTCTCTGTGTAACAGTCCTGGCTGCCCTGGAACTTGCTCTGTAAACCAGGCTGGCCTTGAACTCACAGAGATCCACCTGCCTCTGCTTCTCAGCTCTGGGATTAAAGGTATGCGCCACCACCGCCCATCGTTTTTCATTTTTGAGAGAGGCTTGCTATATAACATGGGTTAGTTCTGAATTCACAATCCTCCTGCTCAGCCTCCTGAGGGCTCAGATGTACACCGCCACACCTGGTTCTAAGCATTTACACCTTCAACATTTACTGTGTATATGCCAATGGATAAGGGAGAATTTGATGACAAAAAGCTGAAACCCAGGGTGATGCAAGTCTGCTGTTGCTGGCTAGCTAGCTTCAGCATACCAGACTGGACAGACGGGGAGGGGCAGTAGACATACTGAAGACAGAGAGCCAGGACAGAAAGCCTAGATGACCCAGCCTGCTACAGAAATAAAGGGATGAGAAGAAGCCAATGAATTAAAGAGAATGTGAGGGATGAGCCAAGAAAGAGCAGGAAGCCTGCGTAAGACTCCTGGACCAGCTCAGGACTTGACTGATGGTGCCACCTGCTGACAGTGACAGAGATGCCCCATTAACAGGGAACCATACAGACCTAGAACTCAAAACCACATGGATTGGGGATCATCAGGATACTGGTAAAAATAAGTTACATTTCTAAGTTATCTGACAACTTCTATAAAAATTCTGATTTAACAACTTCACTTCTGTGAATGTATACAATATTGCATTTATATGTGTACAAACAAAAAAACAGTGAATGAATGCCCCATTCTGTGGTGAGAAGCCTGGAACAGACAAGATATTTATCAGTGACTTTCAGTTAGCAGCAGCAAGGCCCTGGAGTAGAGGTGGGACATATGGCATGTCTAGGAACACTTTTGTCTCAGATGGAGAATGAGAGGTTGTAAGCACTCAGGGATAAAGAACAGGTATAGTCTGCAACAAACGTAACAGCTACACATCATAGTCCTATCTTGCCCAAATCCCAACATTGTTGAGGTTAAAAGGCCCTGATCTAGGTAAGATGAAGGTATTCTAAATATAGTGGGAAAGAACAATGTCTAAAATTTGTTCCTCATAAATAGCAACAGCAGAACAGCCGGAACACATGACCTGGTCCTACAAAACTCAGACCTAGGTATGTCTCTGCACACAGAGATGTATAAATCAAGAAGACAGGGACCAAGAGTCCTTACAGAGCAGACTTCAGGAGGAGCTCCATTTTGTTCAAACACTCTGACCAAGTGTGATTTAGACAAAATAGGCTTGGCTTATACTATCTCACTTCCCCCTATAAGTCAGATACAGCAATGCACAGGACTACTACAAGTTCAAAGCCAGTCTGCTCTACTTGCTGACAAGGGCTATGTATCAAGTTCCTATCTCAAAAACAAACAGAACTTCTTCCATTAAGAAAGAATAAGGGGAGCTGGCATAATGGTTCAATTCTCTATATTGTAGATAACTTGAGTTCTCAAAACCCACATGTATAATTCCAGCTCCAGGGAATCCTATGCATCTCGCCTCCATGGGTACATGTACATGTGTGCATACCCACACAGACACACATACAAATAAATTTTTAAAAATCTTTATTTATAACTTTTAAGGCAGAATGAGGACTAGTGAGATAGTTCAGTGGATAAAAGCACTTGCTGCCAAACTGACTGACCCTAGTTCAATCCCTGGCACTCACATGGGAGGAGAGAACCACCTACAAGTTGCCCTCTGACCTGTGTGTAGGAGTCTACACATACACACTCACACCATGTTTAAATTACATAAAAAAGGATGATCATGTATGTATATTTCCTGGCATAAGACAGCTAAATTATCCAATGGGAAAAGAACAGGCTATATTATACTTTGTATGGTATATTCAACTGTTAGAACGATATTTTTAAGCATACATGTATGCATTAAAAATGTGACTGTCAGGGCTGGAGAGATGGCTCAGACATTAAGAGTACTGACTGCTCTTCCAGAGGTCCTGAGTTCAATTCCCAGCAACCACATGGTGACTCACAACCATCTACAATTCAGTCTGGTGCCCTCTTCTGGCAAGTAGGCAGAACACTGTATATGTAATAAATAAATAAATCTTTTTTAAAAAGTGACTGTCTTTCTTCTGTATTGATCTCTTCATCTTTGCAGAGCTGGATCTGGATCCCAGGGCCTCATGCACACAAGCTAGAGTTCTGCCTCAAACTAATGCAACAGTTTCATTTCCTAATGTTCTACAACAAACCCATTATTTAAAAAAAATATTTACTTATTATTATGCATACAGTGTTCTGCCTCCATGTATCCCTGCAGGCTAGAAGCGGGCACCAGATCTCATTACAGACAGTTGTGAGCCACCATGTGGTTGCTGGGAATTGAACTCAGGTTCTCTGGAAGAGCAACCAGTGAGTGCTCTTACCTGCTGAGTCATCTCTCCAGCCCAACAAGCCCATTATTTCAAGAAATTTTTAAATTTTCATTAGTATTACATACAGAATCATGAAAACTAAATCACAAGATTTAGATCACTAAATCCGCTTCTCTAATAGAATAGTGAAAAGTAAAAAAAAAAAAAAAAAAAAAATCAGACTCTTCCTGTCGGACAATTAAAAAATTCAGGTAATTGCAAAGAATACACACAATGAACAGAGAAAGAGGACCTACTACACAGGAAACCTTCACTGCAAACAGGAAATTGTTTTTCTCTGTAAAGTAAAAATCACTCAGTTCCTTCCCACTCAAAAACTCCTCTGTGTCTCCACTCTCTGGTGTAGGGGGTGGAGCACTCTCAGTAGCATCTCTGCTAGTGAAAGGCCTGCACAAGGCTTTCTTCAGTGCTCAGTCTCCATCACTCATTGTCAGTAAATGATCTTGGACAAACTTGAACTCAGCAGCTGAGTCATCCATCAACCACTGAACGACTCAGGTTCTGAAAGGAGTCAATCAAGAGAGTCTAATTCTGCCATGCCAATTAGCTAGGTTAGATTTGGAATTGGGCAAAGACATTAAAGAGACCCAGAAGAAACTTAGGGGCAGTCAGAATGTGAGGCCTCTTTACAGTGGCTCCTAAAAATCTCTTTTCTGACTGTAAAGTCTCCCACAACCGGCTTCTCCGAGGCTTCTTGTTCCTCCTAGGGCTCATCTCCTGCAACCCTGTGCACACTTGTGTGGGAGGGAGCCCTTAGCACACCACTGGTATGTAGTGATCTCTTTACACCTCTGGCTCCCCTACTACACTGTGCACTTGAGGGCAGGGATTGTCTTGTTCAACTCAGTGGCCGCCCACGGCCTGGTACAATACACACTTGTTGAACAATGAAGAGACTGGATGAATTGGTAAAATGGAAGCAGTGAGGGAACAATAAATCAAAGAGACGTGTGTGGTTGGGTGGAAAAGCTGGAATGAAAGAAAAAGAAGTCTTTGCTTCAGCAGAAGCGGAAAGGTTTCAGGAAAGGAACCCAGAGATGTTTACTGAAATCTGAAAGCAGACCTTACCGGTGGCCAGAACAAAGAGGGCCTGGTGGCACATGCCTTCAATCCCAGCACTCAGGAGGCAGAGGCACATGGATCTCTGTGAGTTCAAGACCAGTCTGATCTATAGAGTGAGGCCTTGTCTCAAAATAATGAAACAATAATAACAAAAGTGAACTTGCACAGCCTGGAGAGAAACAGGCAGAAATACACAATGGGGGCTTGAAGCCAGAGGAAGCCATGAAGACACAGATGTGCGCACTCAACTCCATCACGCCATCGATCAGGATTCAGAACTCTTAGGTCATCCTCACCCCATGAGGCGAGCACATTTCACTGCATTGAAGCAATGCTTTTCAAACCTGACCCCACCTTTTTATCACCTACTGTGCGGCTGTTTCCTCTTTCTTTAGGAGGGGGCTGCCAGCATCTATCACTGACCTAGACCTACATACCCAGCCCCTGATCATTTATTTTAAAGATTTATCCTATTTTTAATCTGCTTT